TGTGTAAGGGATACAGAGAGGGTTAGTTTTAGGCTAGCTATATGATGTGACTGATGTGAATGTACAATATATATGTAAAGCGCGGTGTAAATTGACGGCTCTATATAAGTACCATAAATAAAATATACATGGCTGACCAAATGGAAACCACTCATTTTCCCCATCCATGCTAAACAGTGTAGATGGAGGAATTGTCACTGCTAGCTGTTGTATTCAGGCAGCCACTGTATCTGCCTGAATACCCAAACAGTGACTGCACCGGATAGGATAGAATTTTCCACCTGCCTGCTTTGACTTTTACATTGAAGGGTACTGAGCCAGGTGCCAAAGCAGCCAAAATTTGAGCAATATACAGCTAACATTAGGGTTATAGGGAGAGCCAGCATTAGGTAACAGGGAGGGTTAGTGTGAGGGTTACAAGGAAAGCTAGGGAAAGAACTGTTGCTGTAACTACTTATAAAGTGTTAGCTGGAGTTTGGCGTCAATTTGTTAGTGTATTTAAACCTGCTAGTGCAAAAATGCTGCTGTCCAAAGGTTTTGCTCCTTCATCCAGAGTGGAGGCGGTCTAATACCAGAAGGGTGTTACTGGCCAGATCACCAGGTGAAAACAGAGGGAAAAAGCTTAGAAAAGAAAACCAACACAGCCACTACATCTGATAATTGGTAAGCTACAATCTGCAATATATCACATTGATGGATTTGAGTTTAATACCACTTTAATAACTAGAAGGGGTATTGTGAAGTTTACAGGAAGGGTCAGTGTGGGAGTTACAGTGAGCGGTAGTGCTTGTATATTATATTGGAGAGGTAATGTTAGGGTTAAATGAAGGATTAGAGTGTGGTGGTCCTTAGGGTAAGGCATTGTTCTCTTAGCACCCATGGGTTAACACCAAAAACTACTAGTACCTGGCTTTCATCACTGAAATGTATTGTGTTGCCTTCGTTATCTTCAATCCAAAATGGCCAGTGTAATTGCCTATCTATAGTCACCAGTAGCCCAAAATGCGGACAGCGTTTAGAGCGTAGCGGTGGGATCTATAAAGTGTTGTCATCCTGCTTACATTATGCTTCTCCATATTATGGTGGGTTGATGGAATTTCACAGATCTATGTGTATTATTTTATGAGTATCGTATGTGATATAACACTTTGCATGTAGATGCTTTTAGATATTTTGTTTTGTTCTTTCAACTAGAAATATGACTAGTAAGAAATAGTCAAATAGTCCTAGTTGAAAGGGCAATATTCCTCAACTACTGTACAAATTCAGAAAATCATTACCTAGATGTGAACAATATCCTGGAATCCATATAGTCCTTCAGCCCTTCAGCACTGGTCAAGTGGTGCCTTCAGAAAGGTAAGACCAGTGTTTTGGTGACAGCCTAGTTTTCCAGTCCCTCTTTGCCGAGACCATGTGACCAATGACCATACATGTCTTGCCCTAGCTCGACATATCAGAGGCACTTACATCTTGAGAGCTATATTCAAAGTAGCATGTTTTTTTAAGGTTGCCCATACCAGGAAGGCCTCCAACAATGAAAAAGACAAAAAGGACTCTCTGGATCTCAAAGCTGAGGGCATGGGGCGAAAAAGCCTCAGCCTGTAGAGGAAAATGGTACAGTACATGTTTAACTCTGTTAAGCAAGTCTGTTGCTTCTCTTAAATAATAATAAAGCCTTTTTGTAAAACAAACCTCTAAATTGTATTGTCTTTTATATACTCAACAATGTGATTACTTTTCATCAACTCTGTTTGCAATTGATGGATTTACCTTAAAGTAGTTGTAAACCCTTACATATACCCAGTGTATATTACACACTACAGAGCTCAGTGAGGAGAGTTCTGAGAGATGATTGGAGGGACGGGACACACCCCTCTTCACACAGCTTCACACAGCTTACAGGAACAGAGCTGAGGCTGTCAATCTGTTGGAAGTCACTCCCCATGTCATCATTTTTCTCTTGGTGTCAGCTAAACCTGTCAGAATAATGCAGATAACAGGGGAACGAATCAGTGAATGCTTTTTCATATTTCATGTTTGAGGTTTACAACCACTTTATTGAACTTTCTACTGCTTTCCACTGTTTGGGAAGTGTGCACCCAAACTTTCCCCTTTGCGCAGAAGAACCCTTGCTGCATTGCACCCATGCTGCTAATGTGCATGCATGCTAATTTAGAGTTTCTGCTGGTCCCTCCTTGCATGTCACTCAAAGTCATGTGGAAGGAGAGGTGGGTGGATCACAGTTCTTCACGGTCAAACTGAATGAGCCGCCTGTCTATGCAGACATTGACATTTCATGGCAGGGGGGAGCGTGCATGCTGAGGTGGCTCCACATAAACTCCACTGGTGCATGTAGCCACTGCAAGAAAAAATGTATCCCTGCAAGAGCAGATGACAGTGGGAGCAATATGAAAGACCATATGATACTCTAAGCAACTCTTGCTATGTGATCATAGTGTTTTTGATTTGGGTTTAATAACACTTTAATTTCCCTGAGGGCGAGGTTTGGAAATTTTATAGCACAGTATGCACTTGAAAGTACTTCTTGTTACCAAAGTTATCCTTTTTCAACTCACTTCCCAGCTATCGGTTACATTTTTTTGCTTGAAGATGTTTGACTTGTTAGCATTGGATTCACAGCAGGCTGATTTCCCCAGGGCATGGTTTAAAGATTGTTGAAAAAAGGAAATCAGCCTATGAAGAAGGATGTCTCCTTAGAGGGCTTGGTAGCATAGTTAGTGGCAGTGATATCATTCTCAGTGTGATCTCTATAGAATGTCCAGGAAGAGTCTCACTGTCAGTTTTTGTTGGAAGACATTTGATTTTTTGCAGCCTTGGCTTTTACTGAGATAAGAGCCCCATCAGTCACGTTCCTTGGTCTAGTGCAATATTTTCTTCTGTGTGAAGACACATGTGATTGTGTGCAAACTACACTACAGTAGATCAGTGTATATATACAGTGTGTGTATAACCTGTACACCTATCCATCTATTTCAGCAACGGAATAAACTATGTTTAAAGCAAAACTTTTTTTTAACTGCTTCCCCTCCGCCCTATAGCATAAAAACTGCAACAGAGCGGCAGGGGTGCGAAAAATCACGTATATATACGTGATTTTGCATTTCCGGGAAGGAGATGTACGCAAGCCGTGCGCGCCCCCTACCCACGCCGCCATTCGCAGCCTCGGCTGTCAATAACCGGATCCCTGCCGGTGATTACCTGCTGGCACCCGGTGATCTCCGTGTATCACGGATGGGGGAGAGACCTGTATTTTAAAAATATAGATTTCTTCCCTGTCAGCTCCTGCACACTGCTTTGTATGGCTCTGCATATCACAGCCATACAAGCAGTGTGCTTACAGTGAAGCACACACACACAGCCCCAATAGTGAAACAGCACACAGTTAACCCTTTGATCATCCCAGATGTTAACCCCTTCATGCCCAGTGCCATTAGTACAGTGTTAGTGCTTTTTATTAACACTGGTCAATGTATTGGTGTCACTGGGGATGTCAGTGACACCAAGTCAGTTCCCCCCAGTGTCAGAATGCCCGCCACAGTCCTGCTATAAGTCACTGATCACTGCCATTACTAGTAAAAAAAAAAATTCTAGTATATATACCGCCATTTGTAAACGCGATAACTTTCACATAAACCAATTAATTTACACATATTAAAATTATTTTTTAGCAAAGACATGTAGTAGAATACATTTTGGCCTAAATTAATGGCAAAATGTGACTTTTAAAATTTTTTTACTGGATATGTTAAAAAGTCCAAAATTTTGTTTTTTTCTCAAAATTGTCGGTCTTTTTTTATTTATAGCGCAAAAATTAAAAAACACACAGGTGATCAAATACCACCAAAAGAAAGCTCTATTTGTGGGGGAAAAGGACATAAATTTCATGTGGTTGCAGCGTTGCATGACCGCGGAATCGTCAGTTAAAAGTAACACAGAGCCGTGTTGCAAAAAATGGCCTGGTTAGGAAGGGGGGTGAATCCTGTGGAGAGCAAGTGGTTCTTTATTAGAGTAGGGGATGGTTAAAGCCACAGGCAGTTTTTTTCATTGAATCATTTTAGGGAGATTTACCTTTGCTTCCTGTTCTGTAAATTCAACAAGAAGTGAGTGGATATCTTTGCAATGAGAGGGATATACATTTGCCTTGGGAATAAGTGTTCCCTTTGGAAGATTTCCCTTCTATTCCTATACTACACACTTACCAACCTAAAAATAGGCCGCTGAATTTTCATACAAATGATCCATGGGATTTTGACATGAATTAGATTTATCTCAATCTTATTCAAACCCAACGTGTAATTCATATGCCAGACAGTACCCCCTAGAGGGCAAAGCCCGTCCTGGTCTTGCGCTGGAGAGGAAGCAGCAAAAGACTGGTGGTAGGGGAGAGGTGGTGGGAGGCAGAGAGGGGAGATGTTGCTCACCCATACTACCATACTTCAGTATTTTAAAATTAAATTGTACAACAGGTTAACAATATGTCTCATGTTGTTCCACACACCCATTTTAACCGTTTTGCTGCCAGGCCCTGTGTTCCTTTTTTAAACCCAGCTGGCCGATACATTTTTGCAATTTTTCCATCGCTTTTTTATTTTTCCATTACAGCTTTCAGAGTTTGTAAAAGACCCCCCAAACAATATATTTTCTGAAAGCACATGACCAGTAGAATAAAATAAGGTGCTACTGATTTTTAAGGCTGTATTAAGGTAATAAATAACAAATATTAGTACTTTTTAAATTGTGCCTTTTTGCAAAATGGTGAAAATCGAAAGTACACAAAAAATTTTACCACCTCCCGCCCGCCATATAGTACAATGACTATAAGGTGGTTCTGTCGTTCTGATAGGACGTCATATGACGTCCTGCCATTCTCACCGCGCATGCGTGGCTCAGGGAGCGTGCAGCGCGGCGATCGGCGGTGCTCTGTGTCCCTCGGACACAGGGGATCACCGGTCACGGAAAGAGCCGAAGATGTCGGCTTGGTCATGTGATCAGCTGTGTCCAATCACAGCTGATCACATGTAAACAGGGAAATTCCAGTTATCGGCATTTCTCTCCTCTCGAGCTGTCACGCTGACAGCTTGTGAGGGGAGGAGAGCTGGTAATTGGCTTTCCACGGAGGGGACATGTACACTGATCATCAGGGCACTGATGATCAGTGTGCCCTGATGATCAGTGTGGCCCCAGAAGTGCCACCTGTCAGAGTCCATCAGTGCCAGCTGAACAGTGCCCCGTGCCAGTGCCCATCAGTGCCACAATGCCACATATCAGTGCATACCAGTGCACATCAATGCCACAAATCAGTGCCCATGTGAGCTGCCCTTCAGTGTCACCCATCAGTGCCAGTCAGTGCCACCTATCAATGCCAATCAATGCCACCTATCAGTGCTGCCAATCAGTGCCACCTATCAGTGCCAGTCAGTGCCGTCGCTTATCAGTGCCAGTCAGTGCCGCCTATCAGTGCGCATCAGTGCCGCCTATCAGTGTCAGTCAGTGCCGCCTATCAGTGCCAGTCAGTGCCGCCTATCAGTGCCATATATCAGTGCTATATATCAGTGCTGCCTTTCAGTGCCCATCAGTGATGCCTGTCAATGCCCATCAGTGCCACTTACCAGTGCCTCCTCATCAGTGCCCATCAGTGCCGACTATCAGTGTCCATCAGTGCATCTTATCAGTGCCCATCACTACAGCCTCATTAGTGTACATCAGTGAAGGAGAAAAATCACTTATTTACAAAATTTTATAACAAAAACTAAGAAAAAACTTTTTTTTTTTTTTAAATTTTCAGTGGTTTTTGGTTTGTTTAAGAAAAAATAAAAAAACCCAGAGGTGATTAAATACCACCAAAATAAAGCTCTATCTGTCACAAAAAAATGCTAAAAATTTCATATGGGTACAGTGTTGTATGACCACACAATTGTCATTCAAAGTGTGACAGCGCTTAGAGCCTGGGCAGGAAGGGGTATATAAGTGCCCTGTAGGCTAGTGGTTAAATATCCAAATTTCTCTAAAAATCTGGAGGTTTTCATTTTTGACTTACAGCTTTCAGAGTTCGCGAAAGACCACCCAAACAATATATTTTCTGAAAGCATAGGACAAGTAGAATAAAGAGAAGGTGCTACTGATTTTTAAGGCTCTGCGATATTGGTGGAAATGTTTATCAAAGCAATATTTTCACTGAAAATACACTAAAATCATTAATAGCAGATAAAAACACAGCAAATTTTACAACATTCATGCTAAATATAAAAGTTTAACCTGTATTAAGGTAATAAATAACAAATATTTGTACATCTTGAAGTGTGCCTTTTGCAAAACGGTGAAAATCAAAAGTACGCAAAGATGTAAGTATCCAAATTTCTCAAAAAATCGGGAGGTTTTCATTTTTGACTTATAGCTTTCAGAGTTTGTGAAAGTCCAACCAAACCATATATTTTATGAAAGCATAGGACCGATAGAATAAAAAGAAGGTGCTACTGATTTTTTAGGCTCTGTGATATTTGCTTAAATGTTTATCAAAACAATATTTTCGCAAAAAAATCCCACAAAACTCATTATCAGTGAACGCATACATAGTAAAATTTATAAAATTCTTGCAAATATTTGTAAATTTTAAACTGCGTCTTTTTGTGAATTGGGGAAAAAGGAAGGTATGCAAAACTGTAAATAAAAATAATTTACTCTAAAAACCTAGAGGTTATTTTTCACATACAACTTTTAGAATTAGTAAAAGACCCCCCAATCCATATATTTTCTAAAAGCACATAATCTATAGAATAAAGAAAATGTGCTACTGATTTTTTAGGCCCCACAAGTTGCGCAAATGTTCATCAAATACGCAAAAATCGTTATTAGTGGATACATACATGGCAAAATTTACAAAATTCCTGCTAAATTCCTACTAAATATAGAAACTAAAACTGTATTGAGTTAATATATAAAAAATAATTTACATTTTTCACTTACAGCTTTCAGAATTTGAAAGGACCCCCCAAACCATACATTTTCTGAAAGAACATGATCTGTAGAATAAAAAAAAAAGTGCCACTGAAATCATTAGTAGTGCATACAAACACAACCTAACTTTTTAAAATTCCTTCTAAATTGATACTAAATTGATACTAAATTGATACTAAGGCCTTGTCAGCATGGGAATGGGAATGCCCAGATGTTCTGTGCATTGTTGTGCAAGCAGTCCCATTCATATCAATCAGGGGTGCAACAGCTGCATGGGCATAGCCACTGTTCCTTATCTGACATCCATGTGAGTGTGGGTACATGACCCCAAATGCAGACAGTGTGAGCTCAGGGACATGCAACCGGACCCACATGGATGTCAAATTGGGAGCAACGGCTGTGTTTGTGCAGTTGCTGCATCCCAAATGACATAAATGGGACTACCTGCACAGGGATGCATGGAACACCTGTGCAGCCCTGTGCGGGTAAACATGGCCTTGCAGGGGCATACGCTGTGTGGTGGTGTATTTAGGTTTTGTGCTGCCCTAGGCAACACAAAAATCTGCCAGCCCCCGCCACCCACCAGCTCCCGCCACCTGCAACCCCCACTGACTGAGAGCGACTCACCATCACAGCTCTCTGGAATCTCAGCTCTTTTCTAGGAGTCTCGCAGTAACTTTCCTCACTCCGCTCTTCTGCTAGTGCCTGTCGCCCAGCTCTGGTGCCCCTCGGAGCTTCCTCGGCATGACATAGGATAACCAGCATCCCTTCTTTCAGCACCCTGAAAAATGTCGCCCAAGGCAAACACCTTGTTTACCATGTGGCAAATATGCCCCTGACGCTGTGTATGCCCTGTGTGAACAAGGCATAACTGTTTTTTTTTTTATTTAAATTTTTTTTATTTTGTAATATTTTGTACTGTTTTGGGGGAAAGGATGGGGGTGGGGCTTAGGTGAGATATCAGAGGTCTAACAGACAACTGATGTCTCTTTTTTGAGAAAGAGAAAGGGACTGAATACAGTCACTTTCTCTTCAGCCTAAGCTGCACATTACATGAATGAATTAGGAGTCTGTATAGAGACTCCTTTTCATTCATAAACTGACACATAGTAAACATAATTTTACTATACTCAGTTATCAATGGATACAGGAGCAATCAGTAGTGATCACTGCCTGTATCCATTGAAGGAAAGGGAAGGGGCTGGAAACACATGTTCACCAAGTCCCCTCCCCCTGCACTCCATCCTGATGACAGATGACATTTTACCCGAAGCAGCAGCTGCAGGCGGCAGGAAGGAGAGAGGGGAGGGAATGCCGCCCAGCAGCAAAGGGGTCGGGGGCCATTGCGGGGGTCATGGTGGCAGAGGGGACATCTCCTACTGCCTTGAAATCCCCTGCAGGACCTGCCAACAGGAGAGGCAGAGGAGGGAAGCCGACAGCTGCAGGACAGGGAACACCACCCAGCTGCAAGGGGATTGTGAGTCAGGGGCCATGGCGAGGGGGGTCAAAGCGGCAGGGGAGGGTCAGGGGGGCTGACGGCTGCAGGGTAGCTGCAGGGGATTGAGTTTGCGGGTGGGGGCGGTGCAGATCGTGGGGCAGGGGTGGTGTAAATCACTGCTGGGGCCTGAAGTTAGATAGTAGAGTGAGGGGAACATTTATTAAAAGAAAGGTGGAGACAGGGAAGGGGGGTATTGGCAGCGGGGGGGTGTGTGTGTCACATTTTAGGTAAATAGCTCTTATCAGAGGATCATCATCTGCTGATCAGAGCTATTGTGTTCTTTAGCAGAGTCTGCTGATCAGTTCTCCTATAGCAGACCATGAGCTTATAGCAGAAGAAGGAATCAGGTCTGTATGGCGTATGGACCTGGCCATGCTTGAAGAAGTGTTGTAAGTTAATACGCTGTACGGACATGGCAGTGAAAAGGATAAATTAATTCTCTGCCCCGAATTAAAGTACATTTTTCTTCAATTTCTTGCTGGTCCCATAGCAAAAAAAATTCATCCCTGAATATTTTTCAAAATGTTGGCAACTATGGAACTGGTGGCAACTCAACATTTTTTTTTTACTAGTGAAAATAGTGATCGGACAATTAGAGAGACTTAATCTCCCTAATGAGAACAGCAATACAAACCAGGCAGTAGTTCTGACCCCTCACCCCTCTATCCCTGAAAAGGTTTTGGTTTCAGCTATAATTTAAAGTGTCACTAAACCCACATCATTAAAAACCATCAATAAATGCTTTATTACTTGCTGTTCATACTCACATAGTCACTATAGGATTCGTTGTCTGTATTCTGTAAAAAAACAGGTTGATTCTGCTGTTCTCTATCTCCCCCTCCTTTTTTTGTTCCCAATGCAGCTGGGAATTTTGCAGAACAGTTTTGACACCTACTGCATATGCTCAGTTTTCAGTGAGTTTATATGTCAAGCATTTCATCGCTATAACATCTGAGCAGCCCATGTGATGATAGATTCACACATGTGGAAGTATACACAGTGGTAAATGACAGCCCACTCCCTCCCTCCTCCTCCATGTCCTCTAACCAGTTAAACACAGTAGGGGTCGGATATTACATCTTGATTGATAGAGGCTTCACCTCCCTGTTACTCTTAGACACAAGCTGGAGGGGCTTTACACCCACACCAAGATGTTTACAAAAAATAATAAAAAGTTGATTTCAAATATATATTTGTATGATGATTTAAAACAGTTTATTGATAATAATGATTTATTTTTACTCGGTATCCCAACGGCTGCTTTTTTATTTTAAATATGTGACCAGCACCAGGGGAATAAAAGATCCTCCTGCAGCTGTTTCTCTGCAGACACGCTATGAAAGAGCTGGGTCATGTGACATCTGTATATCGATTAGGAAAAAAGGTACTTAGATGATCTTTTTTTATTAAATTAATCACCATGCCATCATTCATATACAGAAAGAGAAGGGATAATGTAACCTAAGCCATGTGTGTTTAGTATCACTATAAATGACATCTAAACCCAAAACAAAATGTTATATATTCCAGCTTACCAGTCTTTAGATGTGGTAGATGCATTCATTTTATTTTTCAGGTTAAGAATATTTTCAGCAATTAGAGAAAATAGTGTACCTTTCTGTTTTTTTGTACAAAAATCACAAATACTGTTAACTTCTATCTATTCTTCCAATCTTTTGCAAAATACAAATTCCCCCAAGCTCCATTCCAGGCAGACTTGATGGACCACTCGGTCTTTTTCTGCCGTCACTTTTCTGTTTCTCCATTTAATGGAGATGAAAAGAGGAAAACTTGTTTACACTACAAATCTGGAGAGCATCTTGGTAGGATTGCTAGATGAGAATAAAGGAAAACTATAACCTGAAAAAACAAATGCAGCCACCACATTAAATGGCTGCTTCAATATACTGTATTACATGATAGTTATGCTTAAATGGCCATGGATCAAAGGTTGTTTTCAATTTTTTGACCCCTCCAGTTTAATGGGATCTTGCATCAGGCAGGTT